CATCCCTAAGAAAATCTAATCTCAGTCACGGACTGAGGACGTGGCCAATCACGAATGCTGGCCACCTTCGCGTCATCGGGCTTCAACCCTTCCGCAAAGATCTCATGACCCAAGTACAAGATACGGGTGCGGCCAAATTCGCACTTCTCGCCGTTGATCTTGAACTTGTGCTGTCGCAGGAGACTGAGGACTTCTTCACTTGAAGTTAAGATTTATAGTCCTATAAAAGTCTCTTCCCCAAACTTTATTTTTTKAGATTCAGATATTGAAGCCCTGAAGTGCTAAGAATGCAGACCCCTAGAAGGGGCGGGACCTGTTTGTTTCAAAGATGAATTTAYAATGCTAAAAAGTTACGGGACCAAAGTCCAGTTTTAAGTGTGTTCAATGCTAAAAATTTGTACTCCTGGAAGCGAGTTTAGCGAAAAGCTATTTTGACCAGCTAACTTTCATAAAAACTTCTAGAGCTGGTGGGTTAACTTCGACAAATACAGTTTTTTGTCGTTTCAGTGACAACGGTCTTGAATCCATGGTGCACGTGTCTCAGTGACATCACTTTATGTTAGCTTTCAGGAGTCGACAATCCTTTGTCTCTGTCTCTAACGTTCTCTCTCTCTCTCTCTCTCTCTCTCTCTCTCTCTCTCTCTCTCTCTCTCTCTCTCTTTCTTTTCTGCTGTTTGAAGCGAAACACACAAGCAGATATGCTAGCGTTACGGTACCAGAAGTCTCTCCCTCTCTCTTGTACTAGCGGTGAAGTGACCTAAGTTTCTCTCTCTCTCTCTCTCTCGGAGAGACATGAGAGAGAGAGAGAGAGAGAGAGAGAGAGAGAGAGAGAGAGAGAGAGAGAGAGAGACATACTTATAGTACTATACCGCTAGCAGGTTGACCTCAACGTCTCTTTTGGTGGCCCTAAGAACAGTAAGAATTTGAAGCTCACGTATCTGCAAGGGCGGAGGGGGGGAGAGAAAGAGAGAGAGAGAGAGAGAGAGAGAGAGAGAGAGAGAGAGAGAGAGAGAGAGAGAGTTAATGTATATGAAAAGAGAGAGAGAGAGAGAGAGAGAGAGAGAGAGAGACTTGAAGTACTTTANNNCTAGCAGGTTGACCTCAACGTTTCTTTTGGTGGCCCTAAGAACAGTAAGAATTTGAAGTTCGTGTAATTGCAAGGAAGCGAGAGAGAGAGAGAGAGAGAGAGAGACTTGAAGTACTTTACTGCTAGCAGGTTGACATCAGCGTTTCTTTCGGTGACCCTAAGAACCGTAAGAATTTGAAGCTCGTGTAACTGCAAGGGAGAGAGAGAGAGAGAGAGACTTAAAGTACTGTGCTGCTCGCACAAGGGAGGGGGAGAGAGAGAGAGAGAGAGAGAGAGAGAGAGAGAGAGAGAGAGAGAGAGAGAGAGAGAGAGAAAGAAAGAGAGAGAGAGTTAAAGTACTGTGCTACTCAAACCTCTGTTTGTGTGTGTTTTTGTGTAAAGTACTATTTTGTTAGGTTTTCAC